TACAGGAAATGATTAAATTTTTACTCTGTGAAAAAACTAACCTGGAGTAGAGTAATTCTGGGTACTGCTCGTAGTCGTTCGGTTGAACGCTGGTCGAGAGCTAATTGTGCTGCGGTATTCTTCCGACATTCTTCAATAATATTTTGTAAAGCTAATGTATACAATAAGCAGGAATTTCATGAGGAGAAGAAAAACGCACTAGAAAAACCAGAAAACGTTGTACGATATGGAGAAGAACGGTGAATAACAAGGCGCAAAAGCACATTTTTTCATACAAAAACAGTTTTTTTCTTAACTCTTAGCAAAGTATGAACGATCAACATGTCTAATCAGAAATGACCTCGAAAACTGACGGTACCCCCCTTAGCCAGAGCCGCCCACACCCCGCTCTCCTCCTCCGACTAGACCCATTAAATGTCTACCATTCTCTCGACAACAGCGACAAAATCTCGTCTATCTCATCGAACACTACTATCTTAACGTAGAGATACACAAGGCTGTATTTTATGAGGTTTTTTGAATTGGTTTGGCAGGAAAAGCAAACTGCATTGCATCAGGCTCACTTATTAACCATCAAGAACATTCAAATTCTCTTTTTCTACTAATTTTGATCTTGTTTTCATCAAGTTAAGCTGTGTTGATGAAAGCAAATGGTATTGTTGAAAATTTTTTTAGAATATTGCAAAATTTATGCTGTAAACTAATTCTATTGGGTTTTTTCAAAATTTTTTGGATAAAGAGCCACTTATCGTATCAATATCGTATCATTCTGTCTGAGAAGAAAACTGTAAAATCAATTATGCAAGAACTGTCAAAGTTAATCGAGATCCACAATTTAATTAGGTGCAAAGCTTCAAAACGTATAGATTTATGCCCATGCAAAAGCCACACTAGATTACTTTTATGACAGCTATTTTCAGGTTTGGACTATGAAATTCAAAAAGAATGAGAGGTGGAAGACCAGCGCGAAAATTCGTCTTCTTGATTCAAGTACCTGTTTGCCTTTAACGTTTTTGCCCAATCTTTAACATTATAATTGAGTTTAGGAGTTAATATATGGTCTAAGATATGAAGAAAAGATGCGTAAGTTATCGGGAATGTGAGAACCGCTAGCGGTGAGTAAGAAACATCAAAACAACCCGCAGTCGTCATACGTTGAGCAAACCGTGAATACAATTGAACTCTGCGTAAATAGACAAGATGACAAAGGAATTTTCATCGATTTTACAGTTGAACAAGGAATGTTCAAGAAGCAGAGAGGGGAGGGGAACAGGAAATTTTGTTTGTGTGAAGGCGATACGATATGTATAGGTTGCGGAAGAAAACAACGAAGAGGGAGAAGGTGACCGAAAGTGATTACTCAACGCCAAACTTGTCTAACCATGTGCACTGGTGAATATATTGTTGCAATGCTGTGTGGAGAAAACAAAAGCGGGCAGTGTCTGCGGGTTACCTCGTCGATGTGCTGACTGAAAGTGTGATGCGAAAGGCAGGCCTTAATTGATGTCGGGCAAGTCTACAAATGAGTATTTTAGGGTGGTGGAGTGGAGGGAACAGGGTTGAACAAGTGAAGAAATAGCTACAGTAACTAGCTAAGTTTGCTAGCTCCACCAGTGAATGTGCTGGAATGACTGATGGTTGATATCGTAATGAAGGTGCCAGTGGGGTGGGGTTCGGCGGAGGCCTTCCTTCTCTCTCATACGGGGCGTGGTAGTCGACGACGCGCGGGGCCCCGCTCTCCGACGAAGACAAGGATACACCCTTGTGTGTATGTCTGTTGTGCATACCCCAAACGCGATGAACGCGCAGCCTGAAAAAAAAACCGTTGGTCGACAAAGTGTTGGTGTGATTCACTCATTACGATACGAGTCGTTACACTTCAGTGGAGCATCTCAAGGAGGTCAACGAACCGCCCAGAGACGAGC